CTCCCGTCTCTACGGTAACCGAGGCCCTGAGCTCTCTTATTGGCTCAGCCATTGAACTCACAGCTAGAGACAAAAGAGAAGGACCTGGCGCTGGTAATTTCTTATCACCAAATCCCATTAGGCTCAGGGTTTTTTCTTTTTTTTTTTCCCCCATTAACCCACACAAAAGTAAAGTGGGAATCACCAAACCCAGTCAGCTCAGCCCAGACGGTGAGGCTGACGGGGGCCCCTAATAACATCGCCCCGCTCCAGCTTGTGCTGGATTAATACAAGAGATGTGTGCATTAATAGAAATTATCCCAATGAGGAAGGAAATGCCTGGGTTGTATTTTACAGAAGCAATACCTTCATCACGTTCAATTCTGGTACCTTTTTGAGAAATTGTTGACACTATGAAGAGATAGAGGTGAATTATAACAGCTGGATAAAAGAAAAAAAAAATCAATGTGAATAAATGTGATGAGAATTCCTCACCGGCCTCTCACACCGTGCTGGTACCTGCAGACATCTAATAGACCTAATTGTTATTGGGACAGTTATAGTACTTACTGCTGAAGGTACCGATCACATTGTAATATCATGTAAGTGTAAGTGAATTAAGACAATGCAAAGTCTTCTGTCGATGATGATGGTTCCCAAATTAAAGGTTTGAATAAACACGTTTTTCTGTAAATTGGTTTAATATAATTCAATGCCTGAAAACACCAGGGGCCCATTAACAGCCAGTTCAACCCACGAATAATACATGTGAATTTCAAATGCCACATTTAAACTCTGTCTTCAGCAGTGATCTTGTTCTTTCATAATAATTACCGACATCTCAAAATGAATGAGGCAAAGGCTTAACAGTTAAAAGCATTTATCACCTCCGAGGAGTCCTATGTCTCAAAATCAGGGAGATTGTCATGAGCAGCTTGTCTGAAAATCCTGCAAGAAGTTATTTCAGCAGATTGTGGTGTAATCCTTCTGCATTGCTTTTGTTTAGTGCACACAGATGCACAAAAATCATTTTTTGGGAATATTCAAATGCACCATGTAACACGGGTGCACTCTCCACGCCTCCACATCTGAGACCTCTCCTGCCGACCGGGCCCGGCAGACCGACCGCCATAACCACCGCGGGCTCTGCAGAAGCGTGCGTGACAGCAGACAGCGGTTAGGTGTTGTGGTATCTGCTCGTGTGTGTGCGCGCGTGTGTGTGTGTGTGTGTGATAACCGCCTCTACCAAGTTGGATTGACAGACAAAAGCCTAATCGCTCCTCAGCTTCAGCAGCCAAACAGCTCAGAGGAAGTATTGACCCAAAAGCACCGTAATCCCCGTCATCTAACACGGGCAATTTCATGTAATACCTGTAATAACACACATTTAGCCCAAAGTAGTCGTCAAAAGGGCTCAGAGCATCAGATTGTGAGAGGTGAGCCGTTTGAATCGGAGGGACCTGAAGAGTATATCAACCTGTAATAACCCCGTCGTGGCCCGCGCTGTCGTTCTTCTCCACTCCCCGTATCGCCGCTCCTCCGAGTCACTTTGACTCCTGTTCTCTCACTCGCTTTGTCTCTCTCTGTCTAAATGTGTCGCTCATGTTGCTTTAAAGAAACACATGAAGTCTTGCAAGGTAAAGAAAAGCCGCGTCTTTTCAGTTCTTTCCTCCTTATGTTTGACATTTGAAAAGCCGAAAAGCTCCTTGTCATCCACTTTGTTCTCTGTTGTCAGTGAAGGTTTTGTACCGGCGTCCAAACATCACGTTATTAATACAGCAACGCCGTCGCGGTTACTCAGAATTTGTCAAGAGCCGCGGATACCCAAACGGGACATATGTCACTAAAAGGTTAGAAGTCACCTGAGGATAACGGTATAATCTTCTCCTCCTCTCGACTCTTTCATGTTGCGCCCGGTTGATAAATCTCACATCCGTGAGTAGTTCAGGCGAGTGGTGAAAGCAAAGTACGTCTCGGTCACAGTAGCATTAAAAAAATAAAATAATGAGACCTTTTACTTGTCAGATAAACAGGAAACTTACGATAAACCTCATTGCGGAGATTCTCGATTTTCTTTCCACTGGTGTGTTTTGTGTGTGGATGTGTGAGGCGGAGCAGGGAGAAGCGGTGCACATGATGGAGCGCCGGGTATTTTCTGTTTGTGTTGGGCTGCACACACACAAACGGCAGTAAAGATCAAGGAAAGAATCACTCAGATATTTGGGGATTTGGGATATTATTTTGGATTCGGTTGAAAACATCTTACAGTATTTATTTCAATTCAAGAGTTCGTATTAAATCCCAACCTGATGCAAGTGAAGAGGTGAATTGCAATCAGACACACACAGATGAACTCTGAGGGTTTTACTGCTGTGGTCTTTTTCTTGTCTTACAGATCGTGAATATCAGACCTTTTTTGTGCAGCCGAATATGTATTAAGTCTGAAACCTGATCTGATTGACAGCTGGAGAAGTGGTTTGTGTTATACAGTCCCCAATGCTGTATTCACACTCATGTTTTAGCCTGATTTGCTATTCATGTCACAGAGATTAATCAACTGGCTCATCCCCTCGCTGTTACACACACTGTACCTGCATCTAGAGGTGTGTGTGTGTGTGTGTGTGGGCCTCTCCATCACCAATCTGCATATCTCCATATTAGCGCCGGACCGTCCCTTTAATTTCCTACAGCGTCTGATAGCCATCGGCTTTATTCAGCCTCCTCGTCGCTCTGAGATTCATATGAGTGTGTATCTGTGTTTGGACCATCAGTTCTTTCTGAACACACACACACACACATGCAGGCATTGACATTTCATGGATTTGCTTCCTCTTTAATAAGGTAAATGATCAGGGAGATATTAAAAGGCCCCATGTAGGAAGCAGCGAAGAGGTCAAACCAGCGGTGGGAGTCTGAAATAGCGCGCGGGCCGTAACGTCACAACAAAAAACCTATTTTTCCCTCTGCTCACAATCAAACCCTTGAGGATCATATCTTGACAGGCGATGGCCACTCGGCAAAGAGATTTGACATGTCCAGGTTTTTAGTGACCCCTGACCTTTTCCCTCAAACCAACATCAGGAAAAGATTTACTGTTTTACAAACGACCAAATGTTGCAGGACAACACATAGAGCTTCTTCCTCTGTGTTTGTAGGATTTGTTTCACGCTACACATTGCGTGGATGTTTCTTGTGCAGAGTTGGGTACCGAGAACCACATTGCCGTCCCGTCGGACGGTCGGCTCCCGTCGGACGGTCCCCTCCAAGTTGTAAACCGAGGGTGTGGCGTTGTGTAGCGCTGTGTTGCGTTGTTCCTCCGGTGTTGTTTGTCATTGATTCACATTGAGCTGCAGACACGTGACTTTGATTTTATTACGCGAATGACGGCAGATCGCCTGATTCTTTTCGTCTTTATTTTACACAGCAAATATACAATTAATAAATTCTGTCACATGGTAAATAAACAATATGCTGTCGTGCCTCAAGCAGCAGTTCTGTGTTGCACCTGCTGCAATCATGACGTCAGTACATGGAGACAAACAAAGAGGGTTAATCCAACATAAATGCTTTTCAATATATGTTACATATTTTTTGTTTATTTCACAATGAGCAAAAATCTAAAATTAAATGATTAAAATTCCATTGAACTAATAAATAGACTTCTGGCGCTTACAGAGGGGAAACAGTTCATATAAGAAAAAAGGTCAAAGCCGCAGTTTGAAGCCAAGTATTATTTACACAGTTAATATGTGGTTTAATTATGAAGAAAGAAATGACTTGGTGATAAAGAAAAAACGGTTCAGGCACCGTTTAGGCACCGGTATCGTTTTAAAAGTATTGCTTAAGCACCGGTATTGTTTTAAAAGTTTAAAAAGCACCGGTATCAGAAAAAAACAAACGACACTCATCCCTAGTGTTGTGTGGCACAAACGTATGTTTGACACCTGCACAGTAATAATTGCTTCACCTTAATTAAATCTTACTAGGTCTCGGAAAGTGGCCTTACAGCAGCCTTTTGCCTGTTTGTGCGTGCGCCTGTGTGTGTGTGTGTGTGTGTGTGTGTGTGTGTGTGTGTGTGTGTGTCTGCGCGCCCGCCATCGTTGGGAGGTGAATGCAAATCTGCTAGTTGCTATTATTCTGAGGGACCTTGGGTGAGAAGAGAGGATGGAGGTAGAGACGGGGGCAGCAAGACAGCAGATAGGGAGGTTATGAATGAAGCCTTTGTGTGTGTGTGTGTGTGTGTGTGTGTGTGTGTGTGTGTGTGTGTGTGTGTGTGTGTGTGTGTGTGTGTTGGTAGTAGAAAAGAGAAGTAGTGCAAATTAGAGGTATGAGGGGAGAGGGCAGTCGCCTGCATATGAGAAAGAAGTGAGAGGCGTCGTGTGTCTGTCTCCCTTTGTGTAGATCTGCACCTCATCAAGGTCGCTGAGATACCAGAGAAGAAGTCCCACGAGTTGATTTCATTTTGATGCTACTGAAAATTCTGCTGTCAATCTTTATTAACTCGGATTAATAACTAGATTAATAGAGATTTAAAGGAGGATTAACCGAGGCACAATATGTTCTTTTCTTTAAATCTGTAAATTCAGACAATCTGCCTGGATTCGGTTTAGATAAGTACTCATCAGTCACAGAACAATCCTAGATTACAGTTGGCAAACAAAGATCCTCGTGAGCCTTTTTTGAAAGAGAAGATTTAGGTTTCTCGTCCGGAAGCCGTGTAATATTCTGAGAGGCAGCGAGTGAACCAGACTGCAGTCAAGACCAAAACTGATTTAAACTCAAGGCCAAGGCAAGAAAGTGCTACCGCAACAGCACATGTAATGATCATTCCTAATGGTTCTGATGTGTTAAGAGATGACGGCAGGTGGAGAGAAGAAGAAACGCACCTCTTTAACTATTAACTTTTATATCTGTTTGGTGTTTTCAGAACTTTTAAGCCGATCGCTTCAAACCTCTCTGTTGTTTGTACTAAAGTATGTATGTGACCGTCTTTGTGCTTTTTCTTTTCTTCTGTTTTCCAGGACGTGCATCGCGTTGACCACAGGGACGCTACAAAACGGTCAGAGACGTCGTGTCTGGTTGATGAAAGTGGGTGTTGGAATTCTCCTAACTTGTCTTGTCTGTTGCACCTTCCTGCTCCTTGTTTACAGTTCGCAGATGTCCTTGTATCTGATCAATGTGATTACTCTTAATGGCGTCTGGCACATGTTTTTATTGGTGCTGTAAAATGTTCCACATTGAGGCGATGCACTCAGAAACTAAAGATGAACGTTAGCCTCTCATGAATCCAGGGTCGCAGCTCCGCGTTTGTTGCAGATTAAAGTCCTGATGGTAATTATACTCTGACCTTAAAATGGTCAAAGGATGAAAAGATACGACATCTTTAGTTTAGTTATATGTTTTACAACCTTATCAAGGCTCATACTCTGCGTGTGTCTGAGGAGCCTTTCAGTGAGATAAACACTTGAGCCACAGATTCTGAGTGGGGAATCTATAATGTTGAATAGCAAGGTTAGGCTTATTGTTTATCTCGCTCTGCCTGCACGCTGCGCCACAATAGGAATATTTTTCTTTCCTCGCTGAACAAAAGTTTCCAATCAAATCTGCAGCTAAATGTGTGGCTGCGGCTGAGAGGAGGTGAAGTGTCAATGCCTCCAATTCGAACCGCAAGTCAGCCGCTAATAATTAGAGACCTTGTGAACGGGGGCTTCTCTTTGTAGTATTTGGATAAAGCAGACATTAGTTTACTTTGATTAACCATGTAGGACAATGGTATAAGATATTTCATGTATTCTCTATTGTCAAAATATACCATCATATTTTTGCTGTGTTTTACCACAGAGCCCCATAGTTGCACTCATGGTGACATGTTCCTTTATTATGTTGCTTCAGTTTCTTATGAATCCCTCAGTGTCCTGCTGCTATTTAACTATCAGTGGAAGAACACATGTTTATTAATTCTCAGTCCCTCTTCATCAAATGAGTTGTGGCTATAATGGTGAGAGATGATGGAGGAACAGAAAAGTGCGTCGTGATGGGCGAGCGAGCACGGAGAACGAGGTAACGTGCGGCGGACGCGTGACAAGAAGAAGAAGCGCGTGAGTTGCGGCCGACGCTTTGAGCGTAGATCTCCCAGTCACGAGCAAGAACCGCGCCATTAAATAAGATGAGAATATAATTGATCCATTCAGTGGGCCCACGGTCCATTTCAGATGTGTAATCAACAGGCGGTGCTAGTGGTGTGATTTAATGCTCCTAAAAACACGCTTTTGTTGTCAGTCAGACTGGGGGAAGCGTAATGGACGTCTTATCAGTGACAGTACGTGCTGCTACATGGAACCGTGTGCGTGCGTGCGTGTGTGACTGCAGCAATGCGCGTTCTTCATGCCGAGGACAGAACTGATGGACGCGCTCTTACCCTGAACCTCTGAGCTGTGGCGCCCTGCACGTAGAGGACGGTGTGTGGAGTCTAATCCCCAAAAACAGGCTTGAAGGGAAGAAGCGGCCATTGAAGAGAGACACTATGTCAGGATCTCTCCCTCTCTGCTTCCTCAAATCTTTTCTTTTTTTATTTACCAACTCTTGATCTCCTCGGCGTTTCATTTCCAAGCTGGATACAGTCCAGCCAAGTTTAACGCCGTCACCCCTGACCCCCCCCACCACCCCCCACCTCGTTACTCCTCCCGTTGTCCTCCTGTCGAGCTCTTGATCTCCATCGCTGACGTGTCACTGCTTTTATCTGGTCACCCCGAGCAACCTCTCCATCTTATTGTCCTGCTGCTGCTATCTGCCTCTTTGTCGCTCTGATGAGGGTCAGCGGGTCAGCTGGAGGGCTCGCCGTTAGCGCGTAGAGCTGCCGTGCATGTGCACGCGGGTGAAGTGTGTACAGAAGGTAATCAAGTCCTTTAATGACCGCTGAGAGGGAAAGTAGAATAACAAAGCATTACAGGTGGGAAGATATAGATTTAAGGATGTATAGTGTCGGCGTTTGTAGATTGTAGTTGACGCTACGGAAAATGTACTGTATGTTTATACCGTAGATTGAAAAATGGCAACGCACCTTAACCATGGAAAAAAACCTGAGGTTTTAGAAGGTTTCGGTGTCTTATACTGCTGTAAACACAAATCACAACTGAGAGATTTGGGATATCATAGAATTATAGAAGGTGAGACAGCAGACTTATTTTATTAGACATGATGCGTGAGACTGAATCCGTGAAGAGGAAAAGGTAATTGTAAGGCATTTGTTGACATCAGTAAGATTTTAGCAAAACAAGAAACAGAAATCTACTTCTAATCTAAATGCCAAATAAGTGGAGATTGTGGTATTTTGTGTTCTTTCTCCTGACACATGGAGTTACACTGTCAGGCGTTTCCTCCTTTCTGTTGCCTTCGATGCTGACCAGTTGCTCTCTCTCTCTCTCTCTCTCTGCTTTATCCATGTCAGCTCAACAATAGGAAACTGCTGATGTAGTAAACAAACTGTGTCCAGAGCCGTTCACCGGCCTCCCATTTTATCACCCACTTCTGTCCTTTCTGGGTAAATAACGTACATTTATATCTGCAGTCTTAAAAGTTGAATTCTGTCACATGTCGTTATTGAAATGCTGTCAAAGTACACGGGAGGAGAGCGCGTGTGATACTGTGTGTGCTGAACTCTCACTGGGTATCGACAGTGTCCCTTTTCTGTCTGTCTGTGTGTGTGTGTGTGTGTGTGTGTGTGCGCGTGTGTGTGTGAGACGGTGGCTCATTGTGCAGGCTGGTAATGAGAGACGCTCGGCGTGCGCTGCAACCAACCAGCCTGTTTGCTTAGGTGCTGCTCTTCTGCTGTGTGTGTGTTTACGTACATGCGTACACGTGGGTTCGGATGCAACTATTTGTACAGCTTTCTCAAGGTTGCCTGATCGCAGCCAGGAGACAACCATGATAGTGTGTGTGTGTGTGTGTGTGTTTGCCTCGGGGAATTGAATCTAGAGTAAACACACATGTCCGTCTCTTTCCCAGGCGGAGTTGGATGGATGAATGGGCCGGTAGTGATGTTGACAAGCTGATCCACTGCTCATGTAATTGTGCGTGTGTGTGGGGGTGTGTGTCTGTAGGTGTGTTGCTCTACAAAATGGAAGTGAAGGGGAGAGTTTTGAACCCTTTCTAAATCCTAACAATAATAGTGGTATATTATGGCTCATGTTCGCAGGCTTTGAATATTTATTACCTGGTGTAAATCACGGTCTTTTGATTTTTGTGGATTTAATTCTTGCAAAACAAAAGATAAAAAGAAAATCATGCTCTTTCACGATCAGTTTAATGAATTAAATTGTGAAATGACATAAAGACAAAAAATTCTCTTTTCCTAAGACATCGAGATTTAGTTTATCTGAGCATGTTTACATTTAAAGTGGCGTAAAACATTAAAAGTCGCTGTTCACAAATCTGCCCTCCGATCCTGTCTGACCCTGTGGATAAAAAATGTCTGGCTCTTAAGTGCTAAAACCATCACATGGTGTCACTTGTTTGCATTGAACCATTTGGCAGTTTTACGTTGAAGCAGGAAGTCTGTTTGTAAACTGTGATGGATGAAACCCGTCTGACCACAGGAAACCTTTGCTGTGTTCCCAAAGGTCAGCAGTTAACTTGGCGCGGACTATTTCGTGTTACTGATGCAATTTACTGTGAAAACAAGAGGGTTTGAGTGAACTAGAATGGAGAGTTTAATGGTGTTGGCATGTAGCACCAAAACACTTTTTTTTGGTACATTTTCTTCTCCTTGGACAATCAGTCCTATCGAGTAAACAGACACACGAGAGAGAGAGAGAGAGAGAGAGAGAGAGACACGATGCGCTCGAGCCGCCTGTGAATAACGTCTCTCTCGCGCGCTCTTAAAGAGAGAGATGAGGATCTTTTCTCCGTTTACATGCCCGGGCAACTCCCCAGCGCCCTTTTTGTTGACAACAGCCCCACAATGGAAACTAAAAGGCCCCCCCAATGCCTCCCTTTATGAGCCTAACCCGGGGCCCGGCGGGCTGCCCCGCAGGGTTATCCAGTGCAGGCCAGCCTGCATTGGCCAAAGCCCCCTTGAATATTACCCTGGATATAGAAGATTGCCCCCCCCCCCCCCTCCACACACACACACACACACACACACACCCCTTGCCCCCGCTGCATTGTTCAGCGTTATTCTGCTCCCACAATGGGACATCACACTTTGGAGGTAATGTTCAAAAAGGGGAAGCAAATCAAAAATAATGGCACTTATTGTTTCTCTTTTGACACCCACTGCCGAGAGGCCTGCCCCTCCCTCGCCTGCCGCTTTCTCTGCCCGCATAGCCCCAAACCCCCAGGTTCATTCACGCCCGTTATACGGACAAATTAAATAAAACCTGGTTTGGGTCGGAGGGGAGCGGAGAGCCGCGCTGGCCGCCTACCGAGGCGTTGCAGAGGCCGGAGGACGGGAGGGAAGTCCTGGAGAAGACGTGGCTGCCGAGCGAAGGGGACGGCTGCTCTCATCAGAACAAGTCGTCAGGGGTCCACCGGCTCCTGCAGGAGTTTACACCAAAGATGTGATGCTACAACAGCGGCCTGATGGGAGAGTAAGTGGAAAGTGTCTGGGATCAATAAGAGCCTCTGAGTAAGCGGAGTTGTTTTTACCGCTTGGCGTTGACTCATTTCTCCTCAGCGGTCTCCTACTGATCTGTTCCCGTGCGATGCACCAGAAACAAGAGGAAATCGAGTTAATAGTCTAGAAATGAAACAGCTGGCCGACTGATGGATGTAACTCTGCTTTCCTCCTCGATGGACTGATGTACAAAGAGCCAAGGTACGTTGCTGATTGTTGTAGAGGGGAGGGCCCGCTGAGGCCCGAAGGTGCGCTTCAGACAGGTGCTCGAGGTTCATTGGCTAACGATCCGCTGCGTTTAAAGGGAATGTCTCCGGTTCTCATGCCGGAGATTCATGGGGCGAAACACGTCGTCTCAGTGACCGTCAGCTGGCTTCTTCTTACCATGTGGTTATTGTGCGAGCGTGACACGGAGCAACGGCTTTGCCTGCACGTCCTTAATGGGGAATAAATGATAACACAGAAACATGCGTTTGTGGCAGCTGCACAGAGCTGTTTTCGGGGGTCCCTGGCTGGCTGTGTTTTTATCCGTTAGCTGGAGGTGGAGTTGGAAAAGTGATCTTTTGTGACTGTGATTACATGCCGCTGTCATCCCGTTTTCACCCTAATATCACGTCTTTATTCTAGTTCTATTGGAGGTTTTTGAAATCCAACTAAATGTTGGTTCAGAAGCATTTTGATGGTAAGATTGAGAAGAAAAGAGAAATCCCGGTCACAAATAACTAACTATTAACAGTTAACCCAAGACATTTAAAAACATCAAAGTTGTTTTATCTGCTGTACTGCTCACGGATTAATCATTCAACATTGTAGCTCTAGAGATCAATAGAGTCGGTACGGAGACAAGAATAGTGCAGCTGCAGGATTGAGAGGAAAAAGATGAAGAAGAGAGGAAGGTGAGGGGCAGGAATGGGAAGAAAGGAAGCAGAAAAGGTTGTAGAGGGAGGGGCGGGAAGGGAGGGTGCAGGGGAGCTGCTCTTTGGGGTCTTTGAAAGCAGCAGGTCTGACTGGGAGCGTGACCCCATTTAGGATGGGCGAGAGACATGGAGAAGTGTGAAGGAGAGAAAGAGAGAGAGAGAGACTCCTCAGCCTTGCACTTAAAGGCCCTTCCCAGGAAGTCCTCCTGCTCCCCAGAGCCTGATACCCCCCACCGACAGCAGAGAGGATGGAGGGAAAAGGCCTCATTTGGGATGAGTGGAGGAGACCCCCATCCTCCTCTGGGGGGGGTCCTGATGTCAGGACTTTCCCTCAGCAGGACGGAGACAAATGTCAGCAAAAAGGAAAGGTTTAGTGTCTTTTATCATGTTATTTGGATATTGATTTGTGTGCCCAAAGCTCCTAATAAAGACACATTTTGACCTTTTTCTGCATTTTGCAAAGCTTAATTCGAGATTGATTTAATGTGTTTGTCACCAATTAACATAATCATAAAAATAAATAATAAGAAATAAAATGAATGCAATAAAAATAAGTGCATTTACTCAAGTACTTTACTTGAGTGTTTTATATATAAAGATATACATTTTATACAAATATATATCTATTAATGTATTTATTTAACAGCTTTGGTTGCTAGTTACTTTTTTAGATTTCATTCTGTTTCAGTCAATACAGATCTCACACAGCTCATGTAAATACACTATATGTGTGAGTTTACACGTGTGTTTACATGTGCAACAGTTAATGTGGATGAAGCAACAATACGTACTTTATGAATAACTTTATAAATGTCATGCTGGACATGACAAAGAATCATTTCCAGATGCGTCAGTTACAATCAGCCATGATGCAGCTTCTGCTGGTGCGGTTTGAATAGGATTAGCTATACACACCAACTACACACAAAACCACACACACAACACACACAGACAGAGGTGTCAGCCCTGCATGTTGAACCCAGCTCAAAGTCAGCTGTTTTCTCTGCTGTTGTGCAAAATTGGCAGTGCTGTAGGTGCGTGTGTGTGTGTGTGCGTGTGTGTGTGTGTGTGTGTGTGTGTTTGGTTGACATGCAGACGCTCCCAGTCAGACAAACGTTATTAAAGTAGTTATAAAAAGTCCAAGTATCTTGTTTATTCATTGAGTCCATCTGTCGGTGTCTTTTTCTAATCATGTTTTTTGTAGGAAAGGTGCTCAATGTTTAGAATCTTAACTAGTAGTAGACTTTTATTCATTTGGTCCTCCATTTAAAATTGAAATGCAAAGCATATCTCTATTGAAATATTGACACCCTGCTTTTAAATATCTCGGTATGCTTATCAGGTGGAGAAAAGTAGTCTGTTTCTTTGAGTCTCAGTTGTTGTGTTTTTGCACCTTTGGATTGTTGATGTTAGGAGTGGATTGAGGGGCTTAGTCATCATGGAGTAAATATGCAGAGTGGGATCACCACACCACATTGTCAGTTATTGGGGGGGGGGGGATCCGTCCCACGAGCAGATAACTGGTCATTTGAATTGAAGACTTCTACGTTTGGTAATTTGAACCTTGACACAGCGGTTGTTTATGTGAACCTTTATGAAGTATGTCTGCTGGATGAAGCGCCTGTGTGTGTGTGTGTGTGTGTGTGTGTGTGTGTGTGTGTGTGTGTTGGTTTGCATTAGCCCGACAGGTTGGAATGATGCTGATCACTTTTGATGTGTTCATTTTGTCTGTGTGTGTATGTGTGTGTTCATTGGCTCCCTCAGAGGGACTATCATTGCTGGTAATCCTCTTCATGGTCGACTAATCTGTTTTCACAGGGGTCACTCCATCCCTGCCCCCCCTCCTCCTCCTCCCTCCCCCCTCGCTCCACCTCACCTCCCTTTCCTTTTTCTGTTCACCACTCCTCAGTGGGGTTCCTCCTTCTCTCCTTACCTCATCCCGCAAAGGTCACTTCTTCATGGTTCCTTCGTATTCAGCGTGTTTCTCTTCCTCCTTCCTTCCCCTCCCTCTCTCGCTGCCCTTTTCCCTTTAGAACCACTTATCTTATTACACAGAGAATCAAAGCGCTCATGTTCACCATCGGAAAATCAAACTAATGATGAGATCTTTGGGATCTTCCTCCTCTCGCTTTATCCTCCTCACATCGCCTCTCCAGCTACACCTCTACGTCACCTTATGATAATTGAACAAGGAGGCCAACAACAACTTATTCCAGGGAAATATCTTTATGTGCCTTTGTTCAGAGGGTCAGAGGATAGAAGATAATGATTTCTTGTAGGCGAGAGTTAGGACTTAGCCTAGCTTAGCTTAAAGACTGGAAGCAAGGGGGGAAACGCTAGCTGGATGTTTCTAAAATCACTCATTTGCTTTACAGTGCGCAATAATGAATCCCCTACCATTTAATTTCATTTTTGAAAATAAGTTCTCAAAATCCTTACGAATCTAAATTCACCGCACACTATTGAGTACAGAATGCTCAAAGAGGCATAACACGTCTAGACTGCAGCTCTGACTAATATCCCTCTTTTCATCTCAATCTTGAATAAAAGCCAAATTGTTGAAACTATTTTAGAGCTCACCGTTCTTTACACCATCAACAAATTGATGTATCAGCTCACTCTTCCTTCCTCCGTCTTGTCCTCTTGTATCCTTATATCCAATCATCTCCTCATCCTTTTCAACCCCTTCAGTTTACCTCTGCTCTCAGCACTAACAAAATCACAATCAGACCCCCCCTACCCCCAAAGGGACAAACTCAAACACGTGGCCTAGTCATATTCCTTCCTATCTAGAAACAATCAGTGATTGTGTTGGCTGCTCTGAAGCACCGTGACAGTACTGGAAGAGAGGGAGGCTGCACGTGCTCTAATTTAATTAAATGTTTTTGCCTTTGTGTGTGTGCGTGTGCACGCGCATGTGTGTAATAGTCAGTGAGGTACAAACAAATTGTAGCTGCTGCATCAAGATTGCTTGACCTGCCTGCAGCAAATGCTGGAACGATAGGAAACAGAGGTTTGATGTGAAGAGCTAAGCTGAAAGTATTAAAGGTCAAAGCAGCATGTTGCTCAGCGATGATTCACAGTAACATATTATTAGTCTTTTTTTATTTCCAGTATTAGCATTTGTTGGACCTTCTTTTCCCTGAGAACCTTGGTCATGAATTTGAGTCTATGAATTTGTTCACTTGGGGCTGTCCCGTGGTTTCACTCGGACATGAAATATACAAAAAGCTTACTGAATCCAAAGTCCTCTGTCAGTCTCACCTCATTTATATATATATATATATATATATATATAGAGTCAGGAATTGTATTTTTAACGGCATGTAATAAACTACTCGGTGAAGGCGTCAAACAGTTTCATAATGACCACCATGCTGCTTAGCAACTATGCTCAATGCTAGTGCTGTTAGCTCCAGCTACTGACTTTACTCTTATCAATGCTAGTGCTGTTAGCTCCAGCTACTGACTTTACTCTTATCAATGCTAGTGCAGTTAGCTCCAGCTACTGACTTTACTCTTATCAATGCTAGTGCTGTTAGCTCCAGCTACTGACTTTACTCTTATCAATGCTAGTGCTGTTAGCTCCAGCTACTGACTTTACTCTTATCAATGCTAGTGCTGTTAGCTCCAGCTACTGACTTTACTCTTATCAATGCTAGTGCAGTTAGCTCCAGCTACTGACTTTACTCTTATCAATGCTAGTGCTGTTAGCTCCAGCTACTGACTTTACTCTTATCAATGCTAGTGCTGTTAGCTCCAGCTACTGACTTTACTCTTATCAATGCTAGTGCAGTTAGCTCCAGCTACTGACTTTGGAAACGGGGTAATCAATGTGGAAGTGAGGTTTGTTTTACACGCGTATTATCCGGTGTGTTATTAACACCTGCTAGTATTTGATATGAAATCGTCATAGTATGATTAGGCATTAATCTTCTTGTTGGAGACTAATGTCAGACAGATGGAATAACATCTGAAGAGCTGGATATGATTTTTAAATTTCTGTTTTCTTTCCAGAGTGCTGCATGAAAGGCCTGGAGGGGACGAGGACTGGAGTGGAAGAAACAAACATTTGGTAATGAATAAATTCAGTTTATTTCTAACTGGACATTCTAACATCGCTCCTTTTTCTGTTGTAGTCTAAAGCTTTAGTATTACTAGCTGTTGTTGCAGTAGTATCAGTTGCAGGTTTCAGAATAAAAGGATGATAAATTGTAAACAAAATTTATAAAAAAAAATAAATGTTATGGCCTAAGAAATTGTCAACAAAAAGGGTCCTAGTGTACCTTGCCTTAGAAATTCATAGATATCATGGCATAAATGATCAATATATAGATATAGTATGCCATAAAAACTATCAAAAAATAGTGTGTCATAAAGTCATACGAATGTAATATAGCATGTCATAAAATGTATTTCACGGTATAGTATTTAAAAATACCATAGAACAGAATGTTATAAAAATATAATATAGTGAGTTATTATTCAAATTTTATGGTATAGTTCTTTATAGCCGAAACGGTCATCATATAGTATTTCTTATTAACAATCATCATATCAATCATTAAGCTGGAGTTTTTCATGAAACATGTATAGTGAATATGTCAAAATAGTAAAAACTATTGTTCTAGGCTTAGTCATAGCATAGTGTTTTAGTATTTGTTGAGATACAAGTATGTCAATGTGATGCATGTTCTAATGTTGTCTTTATCTTCTTTTCTCCCGACACCAGAGCAGTTTGCAGCCCTGAGGACAAGTTATTTCTTCTGCTCTGCGGTTACTCCGAGGAGTAACTTTGACGGGGGGGGCTGGTGGTTCAACCCTTAAAATTTTGCTGTGCAGCTGAATTTTTATTAAAGAATAATTTTTGTATAACCCCCTGCATGTGTCTCATTGAAAGCCCGGGAGGAGACAGACGTCTCTACTCTACCACGGTGATGCACATTGATGTCCTCACTGCGGTGGGGATCGAACCCGGGCTGACGCCACCCAAACCGGGGACAGCGTAACCACGCCACCATGTCATTCACACTCTTAATGCGTCCCTTTGTTGCCTTTGACTTCTTCATGTGGCTGAACGTCCTCAAAAGTCACCACCCTGCATAAGACTGGAACCCATGACCTCATGTTCACTAAGCAGCCATCTTCACCTGGCGCTATCTGCCGAGACACTTGTCTCTTCTTCATCGCGTACTTGTCGTCTTCCTCTTGGGTTTTGGATCATAAAAGAAACCACAGCACATAAGAATTGAACCCACAACCTCCTGCATTCTAAGTGTTCTCTCATCACTGTGAGCTAACTCATCTGATGCTTCTGCTGGTTTCATCGTGTATTTGTCTCCTCTATACAAACACATAAACCCTCTAAAATAAACAAACTTCAGTATCTTCAGAAGAAGGACGTTGTTCTGCACATTTCAGAATAAACAGTAATCAATGGCTCCACATTATGAATCTGGTGTCTGGTGGAATTGAGGTACTGAGCCACATTTGGGATTCGATCCTTTCTCCTCAGGGTGCTGTGCGTTGGTTCTCGTCATCTCCTCATCTGGGTGAGCTAATCCCTGAAGGTCGAACTTGCCTATTTCTTCTGGGCTTTATTCACCACTTCAGGACACATTTCCACTAATTTTAATAGTATAATGTGTGAGAAAAAAACATAAATCAAAATGCACGTGATCTCAACACAGTCTGCGTGCTGATGCCTGAGTGTGAGAAGTGGAGGATCAATCCCGACTCCCCTGTGGAGCAAACCCATCTGAGGATCCTCCTCAGCAGAGGAGGGAAAAAAAAGCCCAGAAGAAATGGGCAAGTCTGACTTTGTGGTCATGAGTTCCAGTCTTATGCAGAGTGGTGATTTTTGAGGTCGTTCAGCCACATGAAGAAGTCAAAGGCAACAAAGGGACGCGTTAGAGTGTGAATGACATGGTGGCGCAATTACACTGTCCCCGGTTTGGGTGGCGTCAGCCCGGGTTTGATCCCCACTGCAGTGAGGACATCAGTGTGCATCGCCGTGGTAGAGTAGAGACGTCTGTCTCCTCCCGAGCTTTCAATGAGATACACGCAGGGAATTATACGAAAATTATTCTTTATGCAGATGCACAGCAATTTTTTTAATAAAGTTGAACTACACCCCACTGTTAAAGTTACTTCTCAGAGTAACCGCAGAAGAAGAAACCCGTCGTCCTCAGGGCTGGAAACTTGTCTGGTGTCGAGAGAAAAGAAGGACAACATTAGATAATCCTTCAAATTGACATACTTGATTGACAACAAATACTAAAACACTATGCTATTACTTTTTATTGCACACTATACTGTAATTTGATTTGACCGTAATAAATGATTCATGGATTTTTTGTCATGACACAGTATACTAGACTTTGTTCAATGTTCTACAACATAGTATAATATGTTTTTTTATGACATACTATGCTATATTGTAGTGTCATACTAACATACTACTGTTTTGATGTACTATACTATGACTTTCTTATGGCATATTATATGGCATACTAGATGCTATTTCAATTATTTTTACATGACATACTATCATATTTTTGTGACTATTCAATAAAAATATGATATTTTAATAATATATACTGTATACTGTATTTTTTCATATTACTAAACTACAGTATTTTGTTGACATAATACACTTCTGCTTTTTCATGACATACTTAAATATATTTTCTACATAATGTATTTGATTGACATATTTTTAGAACTTCTGAATTATACTATGTTTTAATAACATGCTATAATATTACTGTTTTTTGACATACAGTATGATGCCTTTTTATGACATAGTATATTATGCAAAAGAAAATATAGTATGATTTTTGGCCATTTATATGACATATAACGGTATTGTTTTGACTTGTTATGCCATACTATATTGGGACTTGGCATACTAGAGGTTGATTAAATAGATGTTTCCTTACTCTGCTCTTGGCTGAGCTGCTCCTGATGAGCCTCCCTCTGCTTCTCCAACTGCTCCTCCAGTGTTTTCTGAAAGCTGGAGACGCACACAAGAAAAGCATGAATATAAAAATAATTTGTAATATTATATTATTTCAGTACAGAATGTGAGTAGTTTAATCTGCTGTTTAGTTTAGTCTGGTGCGGCAGTGACATTGATCTTACACTGAAAGGCCCTCCATCATACGTGGGGTCTCTAAGTCGCCAGTCCGTCATCAAAACCTGCAGCAGAGAATTAAGTGAAATCCATAGTGAGAAGTGTAGCGCTGGAGTTTGGTACGTCTCTGCATGAATTGCATTTTCTCCCGCTAGATTCAGACCGTTTCTGCGTACATTTAAATGAACATGCAGATGTCGATTGAACAGAATATGTTGGTCCGGTCTGCACAAAGTACCGTATGTTATATGAGAAATGCTGTAAAAATAAAAATGGCCTTGCAGACGTCTCCGTCTGAAGAGATGTCGAGCAGACGAGGAAAAAAGCCATTAGCAAGGCTCAGTTAGAGGCTGCCTTGTAAACCGAGACCCGGGCATTCATTAGGCATCAATCAAAGGACGAGGTGCGATGATTAAATGATGAGTGCAAATGCTTCACAGGGTTCGGTACACCGGGCCACTTTACTTTGACACTTGACAGGAAGTGTGGGGGGGGGGTGAAACAAAGATGATGTTAGTCTCCATGTGGATTTGCTGCAATTGGTTAATTTATTCATGGGAGTTATTGAAAAAAGTGAATATCACAACATTAAAGTCAAAGCTTCACGATGTCTGCAAATGCTGTTGAAGCAAAGGGAAATCATTCTCATCGGCTGCCATGGGAACCAGATTAATGAAGAGACCAAACGCTCCTTTGTAACAAGAAGATGAAAATAAGGTCGGACGTCTCATTCTGCAGTTTCTATAGTGGTGATAAATCACATAATTCGACATAATCCGTATGTTGTTGAGGTTGCAGACTTAGTCGTTAGGTGGACCCATGAGCTAACTCGGCTACCTCGGAGGGTTCGGGTTGTTCTCTGCGTTCAGCTCGCCGTGTCTTCGTCCCCGGGCGAGGCCTCGAGCGAGCTAACCGCGTCGGCCATCGGTTTCCTGCCTGCAGCAAACACAGAGGCGGATCACAACGTTAAACAACCCTGTGAATGGAAGTCACTGAGTTATACAGCTTTTTTGACTTTCAATGAAACATTTTAGTCTATAAAATGCCTCATGAAAGTTGCATGAAATATTGTTAAAATGTCTAAATATAGCCATAGAGGTTTAGTAGTAATTGTCCTTCAAATGCATAATCTCAAACTATTTTCACTGAAGACTACTGAGATTGCGAAATATTGTAGTATCATTAATTACTATTTTCATCAGCACCACGTCCGTAAATGAGACGGCTGAAGGGTTTCTCTGAGCACGTATATTGACACATGTCAAAGCATGCTGTTGAATGTATGTACTGTATGTATGTGTGTGTGTGTGTGTGTGTGTGTGTGTGTGTGCTGCGGCCCTGGCCTGCCTGTAAGGCTGACTCCAGTAGAGCTGACAGCTTGCTGTGACAGCGAGCCTTAAACAAACCCACCGGGCCGGCTGCTGCACAGGAGAAATGCCTTTGATTCCGTGAGGCCGGTATGTGTGTGTGTGTGTGTTTGTGGCCTGTTGGCTTAGAGATTTCAGGCCAAATAGCAGAAGTGGAGAACCTCCTTTCTGCCGTGTTCTATCTCCGAAGCTCTCTTTGATCCTCTGCTCTGTCTCTGAGTGCGTGTCGAGGGGATGAAATTGCAGATATTTTAGGCATAATTATGTTTGATGATCGTCAATGATGAGGGAAGTTCTGCTGTGTTTGACTTCTTGTGCCAGCTGGGTCACACAGATGTGTATTTTGTAATAATTACATTTGAAAAGAGCATTTGAAACAATTCGGTTATTACAGTAAAATCCCTGCAAACATTATTTAGTGACGAGATCTTTGGAAACATTTTTCGTACTGTTTATCATTCTGTGAACAGAAATGTTTTTACTCTCACTGCTCATCGTATTAATTTATCAAAGGTTGAATATAGCCGTGGATTAAGCTTTAACTGGTAGAGTTCAGAGGTAGACGTATCTGACATTTCACTTACTTTAAGGTTTTAAAAGGTGCAGTTATGTGGTATAGAAGGAACAAATAAACCCAACCACAGTATTCTACTCTGTTGCTTCATCGGATATTTAAACTTTTTAATGAGGCCATTTGATTGACCTGCATTGGACATTTTCGTCATTGGATTTAGTACATATTTAAATGCGGAATAGGAGGTTTTATAAATCAAAATTAATTGTATTGATGAAACTTTTGTTAATAACATTGTATGTTTTCAACGTGATCTGCTTAACCAAAACTATTTCTTGTTGCAGACATGGAGATCTCCAACTATGGAAAGAAGAAATCGATCCGGGCACCACAGTGTCTTCGGAAGCTTTGGAAGGTGTCCGTCTAGACACACAAATACTGTCAAATAGCTGCTACACTGAAATATCTCCATTGACTCCCCTCTGTGAGCGCTTTCTGTCGACCCACATTCGTTCTCCTGCTGAAGCTTCCTTCTTCTCCTGCACGCTCACTTGTAGCTGCAGCGGATCAAACAACACCTTCACATAGCAACCATTACTTCAGCCAGTGTGTGTTCACTGTGACATTATGTGTGTCTGCAAAAAGGGATGAATACATTTCATTGATTCCCTCGGTTACAGAATGCTGTTTCTTTAAAGTGTCATCGCTACAATTAAAATCAGAAGGCCCGTTATGTGTTGCTTCATTATTGCCTGGCTGCATTATTGCTTGAATCATTTTGTTATTTGTTATTCAATCTGTCTTTAAGTGCGTGGGCGTGAAACCCACAGACAAATGGACGCCACGTCAGTAAAATGAAACAAAGTGCGATCACTCGCAAGTTATTATTATGCGAGACATTTCTGTCAATGCGCTAAATTTGATATCCGGCCCGACGCCTGACTTGGATCCGTGGCGGCGTTTCAAAGATGCACCGTGCTCGCCTCTGCGTGTCCGAGTGAGAAGAGGCAGAAAGAGAGGAGATTGTCACGGTGTGCGTGGAAAACACATCCTACAAGCCACTTAAGCCAACCGGTACAAGGCAGCGAGAGGAGAATCCAGCCCTGTCAGGACGCCAGTGGAGTTTATCAGCTCGCTGAGAGGCGGGCGGCACCTGACAGATGCCACTTGGGAGCATAATCCCAGAGGGCTGAAAAGATCCTCCACATGACGGGAAGCCAGTGAAGCAGGAGGACAGCCGAACACCAAATGACAAATCGCAATGTGAAATGGAATAGAGCCCAATTCCTCCTTCTTCACTGCACCATAGTGCTGAAACATGCACAGAAACTGACATTATGCTACAAAGTAATGTGAAATATAAAGCTGCAGTGAATCATTTATGATTGATTGATTCTCAGAACATTTACTGTTTTCAGTGAACCGTTTACATTGTCTGTGTTCATTTGTATATATTTATATTTTTGACTTGAGCTCTAGGAAACGTCGATGGGTACTAACAAGTATTAATCACAGTTTACCAAGGACATATTCATTGGACAGCCGGTAAAATATGCAGAAAACCAGTAGTAGTTTGTATCTCTGTTCACTACTTAATAACGTTTAGGATGTTTGTTTCAAAAGAGCAGTCTCTCTTTTACAAACTCAATCAAATCAAAGGCGGTCTCACAGGAAAACGGCTTGATCAAGTGTCCTTGATCCCTATTTTAAGAACAGGAGCGTGGAAGCCGTCGTGGGGCCTATTGATGGCAGGCGGCCTGCAGCTGCAGGTTTATGATGTCCACAACATGTTCCATTAGTTTATTCAAACGTCATCATTACAAATATATTTCTAACGTGTATTATAGGATTACTGTAGTTTCTCTCGCGGGTTAAATCCCTCCCTCTTTTTCTCGTGCTCTCCAGCGGCTTTGGTGAAACAAACAAAAGGGGCCCTTTTGAATGGCACGTGTTCCGGGCGTCAGTCACCTGTTTCCTAGCAACGGACACAACAGAAAAGCACCTGTGGCTCTGAATAGGAGGCGGTGAAGCCCTTATAGTTTGACAAAAAAAACAGGGGGAAATTGAAAGATATGGGCATTTTGAACCATTTAAACGAGTATGAAAGTATGTAATCTCAGAATCACATATCCTATTTCTGATGTGGTGCATACACACAAGCTTAAGAGCCTTTATTATTAGTGTGTTATTACAAAGAGGTTATCACCACAGTTAAAGGTAGTTTTTATTAAATGATCGCCACATTTAGCTTATTCTTATTTATACCAATTGCTGTTTCTCAGATAATGTCATTATTACCGTTATCAAGTTATATTAGCTGCATCTTTCTTAACGTTTTTATTTTATTTTACTATGTTGACCCGTTGGACAAATGCAATATGATCTCGCACAAAGACAAGATGATGGGAATTAAACTGTTCGCATGCTGCGTATGTTTTTCTTTTCGTTTCTTTTTTTTTTTTTTCGGGCTCCATGCACAAAAAAAAGATGACAGAGGGAGTCGTTTTTAGTTCTCGCGCTCCGACGTCACCAGAACCTCGAGCCCCTGCATGCAAATCACGTCTCCGCCGGAGCTCCTCCATTGGCCGCCTCTCGCTCATTTAGCTGCTGTCAGAGCGCGCGGCCCGAGCAGCTCCGGCAACTTTTCCCAGTTCAGCGTCACCCAAAGTGAGCGAGAACGAGCGGCTTCCATCACTGTGGGCGCACGCTGGTCTGATCGACAAGGAGGGGGGGGGGGAGAAGAAAAGGGGAACAAGTTGACCTCCGGGTGGATTTGACCCTGAGGCTGCGGCTTCCTCGCGTCTCTGTCTGCGCGTCTTTTCACACTCGCCTGGTCGCTCTCTTGCTCGGAGGTTCAGCGGGGCCAGACTGAATGAGTCTGGGTGTTTGACGGAGAAGCGTTGTCCTACCAAGACCAGGTGAATGTACAGCATAATGATGGAGACGGACTTGCATTCCCCCGTGGTGCCCCAGACCAACCCGGCGAACCCGGGGGGACACGCGGGAGGAGCGGGCGGGGGGCCCGGCGGCAAAGTCCCGCAGGACAGGATCAAGAGACCCATGAACGCCTTCATGGTGTGGTCCCGGGGCCAGCGGAGGAAAATGGCCCAGGAGAACCCCAAGATGCACAACTCCGAGATCAGCAAGCGGCTGGGCGCCGAGTGGAAGGTGATGACCGAGGCGGAGAAGAGGCCGTTCATCGACGAGGCGAAGCGGCTGCGGGCCATGCACATGAAGGAGCACCCGGACTACAAGTACCGGCCGCGGAGGAAGACCAAGACGCTGCTGAAGAAGGACAAGTACTCGCTGGCCGGCGGGCTCCTCGGCTCCCCGGTGGGTGTCGGGATGGGGGGAGGGCAGAGGCTGGAGAGTCCCGGCGGGGGCCACGTCGGGGGAAACGTGGGCTACGCCACGCACGTCAACGGCTGGGCGAACGGCGCGTACTCGGGCCAGGTGGCGGCCGCGGCCGCGGCGGCTCACGCGATGATGCAGGAGGCGCAGCTGGCGTACACGCAACACCCGGGCTCCGGAGGACACCCGCACCATCACCCGCACCACCACCCGCACCACCACCCGCACCACAACCCGCAGCCCGTGCACAGGTACGACATGAGCGCGCTGTCCTACAGCCCCATCTCGAACTCCCAGGGCTACATGAGCGCGTCTCCGCCGGGCTACGGCGGGATCACCGGCTACACCCACCAGCACCAGAGCTCCGGCGTCTCCCCGGTGTCCGGGACGATCGGAGGGACTTTGGGGTCCCTGGTGAAATCGGAGCCCAGCGCGAGCCCCCCGGTGTCCACGGCGCGCGGACCGCCCCCGTGCCCCGCGGGGGACCTGCGGGACATGATCAGCATGTATCTGCCATCCGGAGAGGTGGCGGGGGACGCGGCGGTTCACAGCAGACTACACGTGCTCCACCCGCAGCACTACCAGAGCAGCGGCTCCACTCCGGTAAACGGGACGGTTCCTCTGACTCATATTTAAATCTCTTAAATGTACTAAAGGCACTACAGACCACAACCAAATATTTAAACACTTAGATGTGGGCGCAGACTGCTGAGGAATTGTAAATTATAGGCGGCTACAGCCATAAAAATGCAATCACTTTGAACAAACTTTTTTTTTATTGTCGTTTTTATTTTCTTTCAGTGATGGATTTTTGTCTGTCCGAGCTAAAGGAAAGCGCACCCGATTTACTTTTGCTCTCTGGAACAGAGCATGCCAAGTTTTGACACGATTTAAATTATAATCCGTGAAGGCTGGCGCATTTTGAAGGTTATTTTTTTCCCGACTTTTCTGTGGAGAAAAAAAAGGCACCAGCTGTGTGTTTGGAGGGTCCCGAAAACGTGTTTAAAGAGGGAACCGTATAATAAATGGAGGGCGGTGTGGGAGACGTGTTATAAACAAAAAAAGTTTCAAGGCTGCAATTTAAATTGATTTCCAGTTTTAATGCTTGTAAACATGTGAGTCAGTCGGTGTAATTTGAATTTGTTTTGTTGTTGTAAAATCTTGTAAATTGTGAATAAATAGGCCTACTGAAAACTCTTTTATTCAATTGTACATAATTTACAAAATACCAAGCTTCCTTTTCGGGTTAAAGACGAAACCATTTTTCGTTAAATTTGTTGTTGTTATATATAATATATTAATATTGTAAAACGAGCGTACTGTATCGTTGAATGAGCACGGCTTTATTGACGTCAAGGCAAACATATTTTTTCAGTTGGGCCCTTAATTTCCTTTTTATTACTGCATTGAAAACAATTTAAATACGAAATATCTGCGATATTTAAATATATAATCTATTAGATCTTGTAATTCTCCTCTTTTTAGCTGGCATGAATCTTGATGATGTTTATTTCATTCCTGCATGTGTCATATTAAGGCGTTGGGAATAAGGGGGCAGAATATGAAAATAGGCTACAGGCAAACATTATTTCTCCTGAAATTACTTTTTGTTCTTGTTTCATCTTCAATTTCATTGTATTATAAAATAATATTTTATATATATCTTTTATTCCCACAATATATAGCTCCAACAGCTGATATTCATATTAGTTCATATTAGGACAGATTAGCCAACATCCTGAAACTCAGAGTTTCAATCAAACACTTGTTGGTTGAGGATGTTCTTCAGGAAGAGAAATGTACAAAATAATAACCTGACATCCTCATTTTGTATTTGCCTGTCATTTTAAAATTGTGCCACATTTCTGATAACTGCCGTGCTTTAGAGTATAACTGTTCCTGTTGATTATTAATCATTGCCAGAGGATACATTTTTGCATCATGGGATGAAAAGGCATGCCGGGTATTTTTCGGAAAGGTTATTCCACTTTCCTATGAGCTGTATTCTCTCATTAGCGGGTTCCACCCACAATCCTTTTTAGACTTGACTATCCATCGTCTGAGATTTACCACGACGTGCTGAAATTGTGGTTCTGTCTGTTGGTAAAATTGAAAGTTTATTCCTCTTTTTCAGCCTGTATCAGGGTCATGACCTCAGTAATCTAGAGCTCGAGCTAAAGTAAATCTGAAAACAAGAGTATCGACTGGTCAATGAACTACTAACTCTTCAGCTGGCCTCAATTGGGCCCACTTCAACCCCGCCTCCACCTGGGTCCTCCAGTCTTACCCCATTCCTCACCCCTCAGCATCAAACGCCTGCATGTGTGTGTGCGCACATCTCCTGGTTGTTAAATTATTTCCTTCTTTAAATGTGATGGCTGCATCACTGGAGGCCCCGGGGTCGGATGGAGAGGGAGGGATGACTGAATGAGCGGAGCGCAGAGGGGAGGAGAGCAGGTTTTTGTGCTGGAGGAGAATGGGGATTAGTCGCGGTGTAAGCCGGGGCAGCCGGGGGTCACCCCCGACAAAAAGGCCGGCAAACAACACCCCAGGTTTTATCAGAGTAATTCCCACACGGGTCCGGACTTAAAAACGAGAGGGCAACACGGATGCAAATCACATTTAATAAAGCTGTTTCTATGGATGTCAGCTGTTTAAACTGAAGGTATGTATTAGCCCTGAATGCTCCCGTGTGATTTATTGTGGTTACGTTCAGATTGCTTTATTTCTTGGATTTGTCTTTGCTCTTTAAATTTGGATTCAAGTGGGAGGGGTTTATCTTCAGAAATGTAATTTGTTTTATAACTTTATAATTGTTATAAATACAAATATAACCTGTAAATTCAAAACCAAAACAAACTATTTTAGCTAAGTATTCTTTTCTTATTCGTAGTGATTACAAAGAAAGGAGCTTTTTATTTGAATTTAACAATAGCATGATTGATGACAACTAATAAATGTGACTTTATTGATTGCCGAAGCTAACCTGCCAGGGATCATTTAAAGAGTAAAATCATCGGTAGTCAGTATTACTTACATGAATTCAACCCTTGATGATATGGAAATATATACTCTAAGATTGAAAGGCTAACAATTGGGTTTTCACTCAAGAGTGTAAAAGGAATAACTAAAACTGTTACCATGTCAAAGACCGTGAGTGGAACCTAAAGTTAAACAAACTTTGAGTAAAAAGAAGAATTAATAAGTCGAGTGATCAACGGGAATTTAAAAGAAAGTCATTTGACCGCTTTATGCTATCTGATGAAAAGATAAAGTACGATCAACATGGTATGTTTTCCTCTAAATGCTTCTGACACCAAGATGGAAGAGCAAGGACGTACTTTGCCACAAGAAATGAACTGTGAGGAGCATCGAGCCACAAACATCAAGGTATGTTCATCCAAATACCCAATACCAAATCCATAAAAAGCTATGATCATCTGAGATGTAACGTGATGATCCGTCACTACAAGTGCTGCTTGGTTTGAAGAACTACAGACTCGTGATGAATATCGACACGTCTTTACTTTTACCCAGAAGCCCCGGATGCTCCCATAGAGGGCCAGTCACTGCGAGGGGACCCGTCCGCAGCCTTGTGCCTCCCATCTCCCATCCTCTCCTGCTCTGCTTGGCACAAATTGGACCCCGCTGCTCTGGCTTTCCCCCGCTCCATAACCCTACGCGCCCCCATCCCGCGTGCTCCCGGTGTCCCAAACGTGGCTAATCGGCATCGGTTTATCACGCCTCCGCATATTTCCCTCCCTCTCCTCCTATAAAAACCCTCACCTCCGACGTTGGACCCGGTTCTGTCGTGGGAGATTACGGGGGACCGATTGCAGAAGACCGAATGTGGCGAGAGGAGATTAGCCGGGGACGCCATAGAAAATAGCAACGGGGCCAACGGATTCCTCGCGAGGGGGCCTTATCGTGCAATTACACGTTGACACGTTTTAACCAGTTTTCAGCCTCTTAATCCGAGGGCCCCCTCCTCCCCTTCCCTCCCCCTTCCCTCCCACCAAAGGCAGACCTATCGGTGCTGAGGGAGCCTGACTCTCTCCATCACTCTGCTGCTGTCGGGAAAAAGTCCGTCTCTCTGGTTCTCTCTTCCTCGGCCACTGTTTACATTTCAAAACTTGGAAAACAAATTTTTCTTTCTATCTCAATAGACTAAAAACTTTTAAATCAGAAATAGGGCCACAAGTTTACACAATGCCATTGAGCCGCGTTCATAAATCAATGAATGAAGGGAAATTAGAGGCAATATATTAAACAACTTTGGAACAATATTGTGTGTCCGGTTACTTTTCCAAGCACATGACTGTAGTCTGGGGTTAATATAGTTTTGGGTTGGGAAAGGAAAACGACTCTCTACATGGTTTCGCTATGTTTTTTCTCCTCTTTAATTGAGCATTTGCAGTTTCCGAACAAACCAGTCTGTCTTCTGTGGATTGCAAACAAGCCAGCGTCAAGGTCAAATACTGTCAAATCTCTCTTTAAACACACGCTTCAGAGCAACAATGTGCAGAATGAAGACAAGTACCAAAACAGGAAGATGGTGACACTATTCCAAATGTGGTTATTCGATAGATTAGATAGATAGATAGATATAGATAGTGATAAATAGATAGAAGTGTAAGGATTATAAAGATTGCATGGTAAATTGTTTAATATTTTCCTCGTAATATGTCTTCTAATTTTAACCACTCCAACGTGGTTTGTGCACAGTCACCAAGCAGTAACCGGTCTATGTTTTAGTACAACATCAAAGTCAAAGACGACATAGTTCTTCATTAGTTGGAGATGAAAACTTTTCCCACATAAATCTGTGCAGACTTTAAACAGTAGCCTCAGCCTTGAGGTTTCCAGGCATCAAATGGACTGCGTGGTGTGTCGCTCCTCCATGCTGCTTAATTCAATTAGGGCCTTTCATGACAATCAATTAGGGAGTAACCCCCCGGATCTCCCCAGGGGCCTATAATCATCACACACCGTCTGCTCAGACAGGCGCTGGGGAGCCCCGCCCACCAAGGATCCTCAGTGCAACGTACCGGGGCCACTGGGAGCCGAGAGGGGACAGTTTGTGCTTCATTTCAAGGCACTTTACTTCACATTATGGTCTTTTCCCCGTCTGTATATTTTGTTCCCTTTGAGTGCTCTGCAGCATTTCTCTGCATATAAGGAAGGTTTCACTGCTTGTTTGTTTTCTAAGCTTTGGTTCTTATGATAGTCGGGATTCACATCCAGAGATTAAAGCTCTGTTTTCAAAAGCTTGCTATAAAACCTCAGTAACCAGTCGAGTATTTACTGCAATATTTAGTTTGGACTGCTCATTTTTAGCTCTGCTCACTTTTGTATGTTGCTTACATTTATTGACATCATTTTAAAATTAGTATAGCTAAAGTATTATAGCTAAGTTTTCGAGTCTCAGGTTATTAACGCAGCAGGAAGAGTTCGTAGAGCAAACACTGGACAATGGAAAGAAGAAAAGTTCTTCAGCTTTCATACCGACCCTAAATGCAGGAGCAAAAGCCAGCTCTCCTTGAGTCATTTACCTCAAACACCACGGTGCCTTTTTTGTCCGCAGGGTTAAGGCACTTAGAGGAAGAAAGAAAGAGAGAAAAGATGGGGAGAGAGAGGAGGAAGGAAAGGAGTAGAACAAGGAACACTAACGTGATTACACCTGCAGCTCAGGTAATCACTGGAGTTGAAAGGTCTCCTGCCGGCCCAGAGGCCAATGAACTGCTCTCCCCTTCGCCTCTGCCGAGAGGAACTCTGTTATTTGCAGATTGCAGGGGAGCTCTGGTTCACGTCTCTCCAACCTCCCACCAGTCGGGCCGCCCAAAACACTGGTCATTAGTGTCAATCACCTGCAACCGTGCCGTAATTATTTAGTGTTTTTTGACACGGGGAGAGCGGTGTGAGTACACGTGAGTGTTTCGAGGCTTTAAAGGCCCATGCAGACGTATTGTTGGTTGTAAAAAGCTACAATTCAGAGCGTTTGGAATTCGTTTTAAATAAAAAAAAACATCACATCATCCTGGTGTCCTCTGCTGATCACCGATGCAACACAACGGAGTTCGGCGTAATTAATGTGCATGGTTTTGTTTTGCTGAGATCTCGGCGCACTCTCAGTCGGGTAGTAGAGGGCGACTTTGGCCTGTTTAAGGGGTCGGGACGATTTGGCGATCCGAACAAAAATCAT